TACATATTGTCTCTTCTTTGCATATCTGCCACGCGACGTTTGGAGTTTATTGTCAGCAGATTTGTTTTCTGTTTCTATACAACAATTTACGAATTCTCTTTTGTTTTTACAGCGAGTCAACCACTGCCAGCACTCTTGTTGCTTAGGTTGGTTTTGCAACTTGCTACCGCACTGCGATTAGCTTGGGTTGATGAGGTATACTTCGGAAAGCAAAAAGGGAAGATGGTGGTATTGTGTGTCTCCATGTTTCGAACTTGTAGACCCTTTAGCTATTGAAAATTTTGGTATTCATACATGTAAGGAAAGACAATCCTAGGGCCTTATGTTTCGGCATTGCATGTTTTATTGAGATTGATGTTTTCGGGAGTTATATTTAGCATTGCAATTTATCGTGCTTACATTTGTAAGTTGGCTAGTGTCGAATATCATTAGCTTAACAAGTTGGGCTTGAGTGATCTGTTAGCTTAACGGGTTGGGTTTGGATTACCGTTTAGCTTAACCAGTCAGGTTCAAACCGAACCAAAATAAAACTGACCCGTTTACAGGTCTAGCCACAATGCTTACTTGCTTAGGGCATTGTAGGTATCGTAGACGGTTTAGTTCACGCCGGATCCGTGCACTTGTTGAATGAACCTAACTTAATTCAGAGATTCTTAGCTATACCTGTTCCAACACTCGCGGAATATAAAACCAATTACAAGGCAAATTTTTTCCAATTTGCTTATCTCCGTCTCAAATTTTATGTGAATTTTTAAATGTCGTGACATAAAACAGCAATTAGTTTTTGTGGTGCTACGTTAAGTCGGACCACATAGCTAGAGTGGATGTGGTCTCCTATGCATTTGAGTTCGTACTTACTTGTGCTAAGTCAGATTAGTTCAAAGTAAAATATAATTAAATTAAAAAAATAGAAAAAAAAGACCGCCATTATTAAAAAGAAAAAGCAAAAAAATAGTTTGGGCTGAGATAAGTAGTGGCCCGAGCCGGTTTCAACGGTCCAACACCCCAACTTGAACCCAGAAGTCCACACGGCTTAAAAAATGGCGGTTTAAACCACTGAAGGAAACTAAACAAACAACTAGTAAAACCCTAGAAAACCGAAGAAGGCGAAGTCAGTGTCGCTTCTCTTCCCCAGTGCTTGCACGTTTTGTAGCAGATAGAAGAGAAAGAAGAAGAACCCAGGTACCACATCCTGCTCACCTTTTTTTTTTTTTATTGAATTGCATCTTCCTCTATATTTTTCTGCTTAATTTATCTTCTTTTTCTTGTATGTAAATCGGTTTGTATTGCTGTTCGTTCGTTTCATCCCGTTCATCGTTCAGATTGTTTTCGCAAATTTCAACCGTTGGGGTTTGTTTTTCTGAGAAAATTGTTGGAAATATAAGAATTAAATTGCTCCTTTTTACCTGGGTTGGCCTCACATTTAATTGGTTAACTTCAAATGCTCATGTAGGTTGCAAATTAGTTTGTTTAAGTGAGTGTTTGTATATATATGTATCTGTATGACAGTTTATTTGAGCAATTTTGTGACCGTGGGCTGTCTATAAACATCAATTTTTGTTTTGAAAAAAGAAAAGGAAAAGACCCGAGTCAGCGAGCAAAATGGTGGCAGGGCTTAAAGAATTCACTGCAAGAGTTGAAAGAAACGGTGTTTATGAACCGGTACTGGATGCGGCGAACGGTGAGGAGCTGATGCACGTTCAGCCTGGTGTTTCTATTGTCCTCGGTAATCGACCCCCTGAGTCCCCTGGCACCCTCTACATCTCCACCAAGTACGCCATGTCCTCTCGTGATTTTGTTTATTTATGTCTAGGTGAATTTAAGGGCATGTGTAGTCTTTTTTATCCCTTACAAAATTAGAATCCAATCGAAGAGTTAGCTTTGATTTTGGTCTTGCAGGCAAGTGGTTTGGTTGAGTGACGTTGATAGGGCAAAGGGTTATGCTGTGGACTTCTTGTCCATATCACTGCACGCTGTATCCAGAGATCCGGAGGCCTACACCTCTCCTTGCATTTACACTCAGGTATAGGCTTTCTTCATCATTGCACTGCCGCAGCAATTTGGGGTTGCTATCTTGTCTGACATGTGCTTCGTCGAAACTGTTTTATTGTGTGGGGTGAAACTTAAGTTTTTGTTTTCGTGAGTTTAGAATTATGTTCCTAGACTTTAAGAACAATAGTTATTGCAGGAGAATGAGATATTTATTTGTGTTTGGAACTGTATCTCGTCATAATCTTCTTCTCGAATATAGTAGTGGCACCTTTTAGTATATATCTGTTGTACACAAGAATCACTTGCTTATTTTTGTATATATGGTTTGTGTGTCTTTATCATATTGTCAAAGTCCCAGACTAATCGTTAACTTCAATATGTAATTTCAAGGTTTTTGGCTTTTTTGTGCATCGTTTCTCTGATTAGAGTTTTTAACTTTATAGATTGAAACTGAGGATGACGAGGATGAGTCTGATGGTTCAGATTCAGAATCCAATGGTGTCTTAGATTTATCCAAGATCACAGAAATGAGACTTGTTCCTTCAGATCCTAACCAATGTATATATCTCTCTCTCCCTCTGTACTTTGTTGGATTTTTTTGTTAGAATTTTTCTTGTTATTTATTGTGTGGCAGTGGATTCTCTGTTTGAGGTGTTTTGCGAGTGTGCAGAGCTTAATCCTGAACCAATTGAAGGTTAGTACGATTTCTTCATACCCTGTTTATTTTCTTTTACATTTTTGTTTTTGTGAATGATATTTGTTATTTTTGATTCATGAGCTGTGCCCTAATATTATACTTTTGAGCTGCCTTTCTTTAGAAGGGGAAGAAGAGCATAATTGGATTTTTAGTGCTGATCAGTTGGAAGACGAGGCAGTTGGTATGTGATGCACCATCGAACATTTATATCAGGTCATGTGTCAATATATGTAAAAATATGAAATTTTCTATTATGTATGACGTCTTTGTTTTGAATGTCGCGGTATTTTCAGGGGACGATTCTGAGTGGCCTGTTCCTCAAAATCTTTCAAACCCAATTGGTCAATCTAACGGGGATCATGACCTAGCTCGTACTGTGCTTGAGGTAAGCCTGTGAATATCCACTTAATGCTTGCTGTAGAGTTGGCGTATTTGTATTGTTCACGTTTTCATCTTCTTTGCAGCTTCAGATAAACGATCAGCGCTTTGAGGATGCCGAAGAAATGGAGCATGAGAGCGACAGCGACCGCCATTAATATTCATTCACCTTTCAATGTTTCATCTCATTCAAGTGCTGCCTTTACCGCCCCCCGCCCCCCGCGCCAGCTTTCTTGTTGTGCACTCAAATATTGCTGTTTATACGAACAAATTGTCGTAACTCTGTTAGCCCGTGACACAAAGTGGATTAGGGAATTTGTCAAAGTACCTTGACGCCTTTCGGTGTAGTCTATGTGCTGGTTTTGTGGTATCTTTATGGAAAGTTAAACATTAATTTCTTTGGTTTTTCTTTCTCTGTTAGTACATTTGAAATTTAAATTTAGTAGAATACACGCGACATGAGTAGAAGTTCGAAGGATGAAATGACACTTACACGTGCGTGGTTGTTTTTGAAGTTTGAGCGCTGTTATAATACATTTCGTTTGTAGGCAAGTTTCTCTCTAAACTGAATGGCTAATTAATAATAAAATTACAAAAAGTTGAAAAAAGTTAAAACTTGAATTAACACCACAATAACATAATGTTATATACCTTATTCATAAATATAGATGTAGAAGCCCAAGTAACCCAAACCCATCAACGTTTTAATGTAGAGACCTCAATTTTTAAATCAAGCATTTGTAGTTTTAAGATTTTTGATCAAACATTCTTTAATTCATTTCTAATAAAAATTATGATTTTTCATTATATTTAATTCACCAATTAATTCAAAAAGTAATTACCATCACAAAATTTCTAAAATCTCATAGATAAGTATTATCTTATAACAGTTTGTTTGAAAATAATTTTTTGTTACTTAAATAAAAAATATTTTAAAAATTCTGAAAACACAACAACAATCGTACACTATGTTTGGATGAGGGAAATAAATAAGGAATTTTGGTAGAAGTCATAATTTATAAATTTACAGGCACCAATTCTCTTGTTTGGATTCATAAATATATAAATTTAGAATTTCCACGTGGAAAAAAAACTTAAAATTTGGGACCTCCAAATCCCAAGTTCAAATTCCATGTACAGAGATGTCATTTCTCAATTTTTATGATTGAGAGTTTAAAAATAACAAATTCCGTATTCAATTTCATTGTTCTTTTAGGTTAACCAAACAAGAAAATTTACAAATTCGAGAAAATAAAATCTTGTTATTTCAATTTCCATCATTTTTAAATTCCTTAATAAACTTAAATTTTTTCATCCAAAAATAGTGTTATTCACTTTTAATTATGAGAAATGACACATTCATGCACATATATATAAATATGACGCACCAATGTATTTTGGTACATTATAAAATGCTAACTTTGGTACATTATGTAATTCTTTATTGGTACATACTATATTACTAATACGCTTTGTTTTCCTAATTTTTATAGTTACAAAGTTAATGATAAGTTATGTGTAATTCTAAAATAAAAAATCATATTAAACATATTCTATCAATCCTCAACAATGAATTATTAAAATAAGGACACATTATTCAAAAACGAAAAAAATTAAAAAAGGGAAATCCTCGTTCACGTAGGTTTCTTAGTGAAATGTTGGACAATTCAAAATTATTTCCCTTTCACTGCCACGGAGAGGCCTAGTGGTTTGAGATGAATTTCAAATTCGTATTCCACATGACATATTCTGGGTTCGATTTCTACGGCTGATGAAATCGCACAATGATAGTGATCACGAGGAGACTGAAAAGCATCTATGGATATTCCCAACCTCTGAAAAAATGCATTACCATGAAATATTTTTTTTTCCGTTGCCATGAAATCCTTGAACTCTAGATTCTATTTTTATTTAGAACTCTTATTTTCTTGAAGTTTATAAAAATATTGAGTTGGAAATTAGAAAAATGACATAGATAATTATCTCAAACCCTAATAACCCACCGTATATAATCTCACTAAACACTGCATATCCTTCCCACCGCTTTGAGAAAGAGACGAGCCGCAGCTCCCGACCTCCCTCCTCGGCCACCCAGGTCCGCTTCTCTCTCTCACACAGTTTTTACCAGATTTGTTTGAATTAGTTCTGGCAAACGTGATAGAAATCGAGTAATTTTTGGTGCTATTTCTGATAGTTTTAGTTAAAAAAAACCTTCGATTAATCGTTTCATTGCACTCTGGATACACAGGAAAGCGAAGAGTTAGACTGAAGAAAATGGCGTACGCAGCGATGAAGCCGACCAAACCAGGTCTTGAGGAGTCTCAGGAGCAGATCCACAAGATCAGGATTACTCTTTCTTCTAAGAACGTCAAGAACCTCGAGAAAGGTCTCTCCTTTCGCTATTTGTTTTTTAATTTATGCCCATTTCAGCATAATTTCGTATTATTTGGAACACCTTAATTTGGGGGTAATTAATCGTTTGAAACTGACTAATATGCTAGTGATTACCTTGTTTCTGTTTCCTAAAACCCATTTGATAGCTTTATCTGTTGTTGCAAATTGAAATTTAGAGAAAATTTTCTTCGAGCTGTTCATATTATATGTTGTGTATTTAATAAGAGTGACCAGTGGGATTTTCTTTTGATATGTTTTAATTGTCATATCGGAATTGTTGTCTTAATCTCCCGTAATCTTTTGGGTTTTCTGACGGTCTTTGAAATGGGCTTATCCACAGTTTCTATATCGTGTTTGTTTATCCATTGTTTCTATATAATGAGAGAGTGGTGCGATAATTTGGTTTGTCATACCCGAATTGTAGTCCTAGTCTCCCAGAATGTTTTCGGTTTTCTGAGATTGATAGTATTGCAGTGATTAAATTTCAATTTGCTTTCGTTGTGGTGGAAGGCGGTTGAAATGGGTTCATGTACCGTTGTTTCAAAGTTATGTTTGTTTAGACATTAAGCATTAGGATTTGCTTATATGAGTCTACCTTTAGCCTGTTGGATTGACGTCTTTTTTGTTTATAGTATGCACTGATCTGGTTCGTGGTGCCAAGGACAAGCGCCTCAGGGTGAAGGGACCCGTGAGGATGCCAACCAAGGTTCTGAACATCACCACCAGGAAGTCCCCTTGTGGTGAAGGTAAGCTTCAGTCTGAAATGTCGTTCGTTGTTGACTCATGGGTCGTTGAATGTCATTGTTATAACGTTGTTTCTATAACTTCAAATTATGGTTGGTGATTTTCAGGTACCAACACATGGGATAGATTTGAGTTGCGTGTCCACAAGAGGGTTATCGACCTGTTCAGCTCACCAGATGTTGTCAAGCAAATTACTTCCATCACTATTGAACCTGGTGTCGAGGTGGAGGTTACAATTGCCGACTCTTAAACTGTACCCGATTTCAGCATAGCTTTCCTAGTTATCTGAAAGATGAGCCTGTCCGTTTTACTCTAATTTTGAACTAAGACTTGTAGTGTTTGCGATTCTTGAGGTTTTGGTATGGATATGAACATTGGATCATATTTCAATATTTAGTAGAAGTACGTTTTGCAAGAAGCACATCTTATCAAGACATTGAAATTTTTATTTCAGTTTGTGGGTTTATAATCCTCTAATTTTACGTCTTTACTCGGCTACTTCCTAAATTATACATCAATTGGTTTCAGCTGTGTTATAAACTGTTTACGTTGAGATACGAGGCTTAACCTTTCGTTGCTAATGGCGACAGTTACCATGATTAGTGCCTCTTTGACATGAGAACGAGGCATGTCGATGTTATGTATAATAATTTTGCTAATTAGTCATAAACCAAATTCTGAGGAGTTCCGAAAGATCAAACTTTTGGAATGTGTTAATGCATAGACGTGATTGTTTTTAGCCAGTGTTATAAAGCATCCTAGTAGTGATTGTTTTTTGTCAGTGTGATAAAGCGCCATACGCGAGTCACATTATCTTAGTAAAATTGTATCTCTAACTGGAAAAAAAAAAAAAAAAAAACCAAGATTAAGATTTGACGGATAAACATCGTCAAACAAAATTTACATTTACCAAGCACTTTTCCAATTGGACTCCGAATAATAATCAAGATACCAATCCACAAATTTCCTCAACCCTGTCTTCAAATCCGTGGTGGGCACATAACCAAGCTCCCTCCTTGCCAAGCTTACATTAGCATGAGTAAACAAAACGTCCCCATTTCTCGGCATCGGCACCACTACCTTCTTTGCCTCCACCCCAAGCAATCTCTCCAAAATTCCCACAACCTCATTAACCGGCACCGGCAACGTGTTCCCGAGATTGAAAACCCTAAGCTGTGCCGGCCTCTCCACCTTTCCCCCGCTCCCGGTGCTCTTCTCCGCCGCGTCCACCGCCGCCAACAAACCCTTTACGACATCGTCGATGTATGTGAAGTCCCGGGCCACTGACTTGTGGCCTGGGCCCTCGAAAACAGCAATGGGCTTCCCTCTCAACATGTCTCTAGTAAACGAATAGTACATCATATCGGGCCTACCCCAAGGCCCATAAACAGTGAAAAACCTCAGCCCAGTAATTGAAAGCCCATATATGTGATTGTACGCGTGTGCTATTTCTTCCCCTGCTTTCTTTGTCGCCGCGTATAAACTCGCCGGTTGATCCGTACGGTGCGTTTCGGAAAAGGGAACTTTTGAATTGAGGCCGTACACGGAGCTCGACGATGCCCAGATGATCGACGGCTGTGGGTTGGCTGTTTTGCAGGCTTCGAGGAGATTCACGAATCCGGCGATGTTGCTGTGGACGTACGAGGCTGGGTTTCTAAGAGCGTATCGAACGCCGGCCTGGGCGGCCAGGTGGACGACGTGGGTGAATTTCACCGACCGGAAAAGCTTTGCGAGTTTTTCCGAATCGTTGATGTCGGCTTCCAGTACGAAGATCCCATGGCGGCGGAGGAGATCAGCACGGCGGCGTTTCAGCGTCGGGTCGTAGTACTTGTTGAAGTTGTCGATCCCCACGACGCCGTCTCCTCGCTTTTTGAGCGCGAGGGCGACGTGGGTCCCGACGAATCCAGCGGCGCCGGTGACGAGAACGGAGTGGCCAATGGTGGAGTTGGCGAGAGGCCTGGCGGACCGGATGACGACGTTTTCCCAGGCGGGGAGGCTGGGGAGGACGCGGCGGTTGGGATCGGAAGAAGGGGTTCGGTGGAAGAAGAAGAGGATGGTGAGGAGGATTGCGATCCAGAAGAAGATGAGCCTGGTGATGGAGCAGCGGAGGCGGAATCTGGGTTTGTCCATGGCCGGAAATTTTCTCGGGAAAATTCGGGAGCTCCTTACTTTTGAATGGGTACTAGTTTTCTGGCATTGCTAAATTCCAATGGGAAGGGTTTTGAGGTTTAAATTTGTGAGAATTTGGGTTTTTGAGTTGGAGAGGGATTGGGTTTGTTCTGATCTTTGTTCTTCTCAGTGTTGTACTAGGAGTAAATCTTATAGGGTTTTTCTTTTCACTTTTTTGTATTTTGCTTTTGAGTTGGAGGAGTTATCTGAATCGTTGCTATTTGGGTAAAAAGTACTGGGAATCCACCAGAAATTCAGGAAAAAGGAGAATGGAGAAATTGGTGATGGAAAAGCTCAACCTTTCTGTGTGCCCGTGAGAGAGAGAGAGAGAGAGAGGTGGGAGGGAGGTGGCGTGGTGAGGGGTAGATGGAGGGAAACATAAGTTTTTGGAGGGAAACATGGTTTGTAAAGGAGTTTAATTATAGTTAAACATCAATTAATTAATAATTAAACAAAGAGTGGAACTGTGGAGTAAGAGAAATAGAATTTTAAAGGGAATGGGAATATTGGGATTGCTTGCTACGAAAGATGACACGAGTTAAAGTCAATTGTGTTTGTACATTTTTTACTTTTATTTTTTCTGTTGATTGTAGTAATTTAAAATTTAATATAATCCGAAAGAAAAATCAAGAATTTCATAGAGAAAGTTAATCAAAGAAACATTACTCTCCATTTTTCCCTCGCATATGTAATCAATTTAGTTTGCTCTTCTTGTTTCTTGGCATGTATATCAAATGGTCAAATATTGGAGTAAGCCCTAGTTTGATACTAAGGTGATTCTAAAAAAAGTGGTTGTCAAAAAAGGTTGGGAGCTTTTTTACGTTTGGTAAACATTCAGCTTCAGTTTTTTTTCACGATTTTGAGTGAAAAAAAGCCAAAAACACAAAGCTGCAAAACCCAATTTTGAAAAACCAGCTTTTTTTCACATCTGTTTTATATAAAAGTTTATCAAACACTATAATACTACTTTTTTTTTTTTTTTTTTTCAAAAGCACTTTTACAAAAAAATTTATCAAACACCATGTTGCTTTATTTCACAACTGCTTATTCTCACAACATAATAGAAATAATTTTTTTTCTAAAACATAACAATACCAAACCAGCCCGTCTTTGGTCCGCACGCTGGCACCATGTGACTGTCCGAACAAGATGTGGGTTCTGAGGTGGGGGATGGCCGGAGTTTATGGGTAATTGGGCATGCCACCAAGGGCAGGGTGGTGGATGGCCGGAGTGCATGGGTAAATGGGTTGGTTGATTTTGTATAGGTCGTATGAGTAAGGTGATCCACTAAATGAACGATATAATTTCTTAAAAATGGGCTAATCTTGGGTGATTCCAGGCTTTCAACCTAATAGCCGAAGGCCCTAATACTAGTGTTAGTTGGGCTAAGACCACACACAATGGCTTCAGCAATTCATCACGAAATCAGCCCAGTTCTAGTGAACATGAACCTTAAGCATAACCCTTGGCAGAATAAATATACACATTCATAACTGTGAGTATATTTTTGGTAAGGATATTAAGGGAAAATGTGTAAAGATAATGTCATATCATTTGATATTAAAGGTTAGACACAGTGTACGTTCCCCCACTGAACATTGAACAAGAACATTGATATGTCTTAACTTGATTAATTACCATCTAATTTATCTGTCAACAAGCAACAAATTACCGTCAAATCTACAAATCATGGTTAATTGTGTTCTTTCGGCTCCTTGGTTTTGGTTCTTTCTTACATTATCTCTTCAGTCACTTCTATTCTTCCTTTTAATAACGAATATATTGGTGTTAGTTAAGCCTTCGGTTCTTTACCTCAAAATCATGAACCAATTAATCTAAAATTGGTAACTGGATTTTCTAAAGTTCTTCGTCTAAGTAGGTCAAAGACAGAGTATATGGAGTGCACTTTAAGTGCGAATAGGGGTTCAAATGAGATAGGGTGAGGATTAGAGTTAAAAAGTATCAAAGAGTGAACGTTTTCGCTATCTGAAATCTATCTTGCAAAAGAACAGAGAACTGGATGGAATCTCAACGTAGAATACAAACTGGATGGATGAAGTGGAAGAGCGCATTGAGTGTATTGTGCAACAGTCATATGCTACTAAAACTCAAAGAAATTTTTTATAAGATGACAATAAGGCCAATGCTTTATGGCAAGGAATGTTAGTAGTCAAACATTAACATGTATAAAAAATGAGTGTAGTGGAGATGAGAATACTCCATTAGATGTGTGAGCACACAAGAAATGACAGAATTAAGAACGAGAATATCCAAGATAAAGTAGGAGTAACCGTAATTTTAGATAAAATGAGAGAAAATCGGTTAAGGTTGTTTAGGCATGTGAATCGAAGAATTATAAAGGCTCAAGGCAAAATGGATAGAGGAAGACATAAGAAGTCTTGAAAAGAGACTTTAAGAAAAGACATGAAGTACTTTGAGCTAACGGAAAACTTGGCACAAAACTGAGTTCAGTTGTGTTCTAAGATTCATACAGCCAACCCACTTAATGTGATAAGTTTTTGTTGTTGTCGTTTAGTATTGGATTGGATTTTCTAATTATAATGAGTTTGTTGCACGAGATCAACTTATATGACACATAAATATTGTCATTTTAGCATTTTAAGAGCAAGGAAGCTTATAAATATCGTATGTTATTACTGAACAATGCGACAGTGGTATACTATCATGAAAGTCCTGTTGCAAAGTAGTTAAATAGTTATTTTAAACTACATATCCATGCACATATCATTTCTATCTCGTCATATGATTTATTTGTATGTTTCATCACGTTTCAGGTAATAAGAAAGATAAACATGATAAAATATAAAACCAATTACGAACACATGTTCTCTCTTCTATTACACAAAATCAATCAAATCCGAAATCATAGCCAAAAATAGAATGGGCATGAAAAAGCATGATTTGATGGAAATTAATGTGTCTCATAAAGTAAATAAAACAGCAGTGATCCTAGCAATTAACATCATTTGCAATCACATAAATTTCATGTTGCCCAACAAAATTTGTCAATTTAGGAATCCTGAATTAGGTAATGTGCTTTTGTTTTATGTATAACATCACGATCATCATTCATCTGTGCCATTTTTCGGTTCTTTGAATCTTTCCATCATTCATAGAAAAACTGTAGTCGCACTTTAATCAATTCGTGCCCACACAACATCATTATGCAGGACCGGCTTTTGTTAAATCATCAATAAATCAGTTTAAACTTTTTCATTGCGTGTTTCG